GCTCGCTGATCCGTCTTGAAGCTCAGAAACCTCCCTTATTATGCTGAACCATAACAGCTTGTTAAAAATGGAAATGCAGAGATGAGAAATAGCAAAGTCGAATGCTTTTCCGAAATATAAAGTAATGCTAAAAAAAGAAAAGAAAAAATGTTTAAAATCCTGGAATGCTATTCATTCAAAACCAGGCTAAAGGCAACCTGCCTGCATCTATTTTATGATGAATACAATCGACTGAAATTATGTTCATAGCTTGAAGCTTGCATTATTAATTCTGCCTATAAACATCGGCTCAGCTTATCTGTTCTTATAGTAATGGTAGGAAACAATTGAAATATTTCTTCATGTTTTATTATGTTTCATTTCATGTTGTCTCTTTACATGATGTCCTGTTGATGCTGTGTTGACTCGCTGACAACCTTAAGGGACAGAAGAAATAAAAGCAATTAATGTCAATGATAATTCAAGTAAAAGAACCAGTAAATTAATGCAGACAAATCGCTAAGTAGGTTAATATAAATTGTACAGATATTGGTTGGAGTGAAGTGCTGTGCAGGCCAGTGAAGCTAACAGTTCAAAGAAGAACAGAGTGTCAGAGAGTTTCAAAAAAAAAGTGCCTAAATCTACAACATCTTCCAGAGGAGAAACAAAGACTTTCCACGTCATTTCAGTGTCGCTGTCATGCTTATAGCAAATCTATAGAAGCAAGTGAGCAGCTGCGAAAAGTTTAGTTGGAACAATGAAATTAAACTTACACACTCGGCACTAGCACCCTGGCTCATGGAATATTTCATCTAGGAATGTCATATATTAAACATGATCTGTTACCACATAAGTGTGCCAATTTACAGTCTTTTCTAACATTGTGTCATGGTAATTACTGCTGAATCCTTTTAACACCTATTGGCTCTACATTCTTAAAATTTTACCATGTGTTTCTAAGGGCTAGCACATCCCATTGTGTTTGTTCAGTAGGAATTTGCAAAAATGAATGATGTTGTAGCCCTTAAAAATATCACCTTTTCAGTGGTTCACCCTTAGACACATAGAAGTGGAAGCAGAGCTGTCAAATCCACTCACAAATGGAATCATTTTCTCACTTCATACATTTTAAATGGCATAATTCCCACTGGGATGCCTAGATTGAGGTGGTCTGGTATATTGCACCTTGTATTACTTTCAAATCTTGCTACAAAGTATAAAAACAGTAAAGATGTTATATTTACAAATTTAAAAATTCTTAAAAACAATGATTACAATGTGTATTTTCACCCACGTGAGTAATGCAGCTTGTGTTTGCATGCGATTGGTTTGTTTGTGTTGTCGACACGTGGATGTGTGTGAGCTCAAACCTCTCCATCGCGGGTCTCAATAGTCTTGATAAGAACAGTTTTCTTGGAGTGAACCTCCGATCCGCGCTGGGATTCAGGACTGGTCTCTGTAAGAATGCATTCACCAAATTAGCTTGGAAATTAACTTTGTTTACAGTAACACAAGATCAATTCAGTTTAAAGGCACTGGTGTTGTTTACTATTGATTGAGGAAGCTAGTCTTCTACTTTAGGGAGAGAATCAGAAAAGAGGTTTTGAAGCTGCTTATTGTTTTCCAGTTTTACATTTCTATTTTAAATATTTGTTCACAATAATAGCTTAACATGTAAAATTAGACACATTTGAAGACTAAAGGAAAAGACAGAGTTACATAATCATCTAAGTCTGGCTTGCTTAACTGCGGAACCAAAGCCCTGTGAGGTATTTTGTCTCGTCTAACGTCTCCACCCAGTGGTCAGAAAGTGTTACTGCAGGTACATGATACATAATAAGCTGAAAATAGCGTCTACCATATTCAGTCACAGGCTATAATTAAACGTTATCATCATGCTTATTGACTCATTTGGAATGCAAAATGGATTTACCAAGTATTTATGTGCTGAAAAAAAGACATGTTACTATTCCTGTTACCTCTGAATCCAATGGAAGAATAAGCAGACTGGACAGGCATAGTGGTAGTGATCCTGCAATGGAAAGAAAGAGAGAAAATAATAGTAAAATTAGGTCTTGTTATCATCCTTCTACATGGCGTGTATAGCCGACCAACCTGCTCTCCTCTCCCTCCAGCAGCTTGCGATAGGTGGCAATTTCAATATCAAGAGCCATCTTCACATTGAGGAGGTCCTGGTACTCCCTCAGGTGGCGAGCCATATCATCCTTTAGATCAAAACATTAAAAATATTTAATTGAAAGTCTTATTGACTCCTAAAATTAAAGTTTCCCTGCCAACAAAAATCACACTGTCACTAGAAATACTGAAATGAACCGGTAAAGATGGGTTGTGTATTTCTAAAATCCCACTTCTTGTATCTTATAGCTGTTGCTTTTATTATCTGCTGTCACAATGCATGCCTCATGTGAAATGCTAAAGGTTATTACCTTCATCTTGGCAATGTCTTCCTGCAGCTGTGCAATGGTATCCTGGTAGCCAGAGGCTTCCTGGCCCATCCTCTCCTCCATTTCTCTCATCTGGCGCAGCAGAGACTCATTCTGAAAGGATAGCAAGGAGGTGAAGTCAGGTTTAAACTGGACTGACAGCAGAATAAAAAAATTCAAGCTGCACAGTTTACAAATAACAGGAATTCAGTGAGTTAAATAAATACTGACAGTGCCCTTGAGAGAGTCGATTTCACAGGTGTAGGACTGGATCTGGTGCCTGTACTCCATGGTCTCCTGTTTGGCCTGGCGCAGAACGTCGTTGTTCTTGTTCACAGCTTGGTTCAGATCGGACACCTCGTGGAGACACCAGGTGAGTGTTTAAGCATTTTAGCAACAGAAGAAAATAAACTTTACTCATGAATGGCTTCTAATCTACCTTGGACTTGTACCAGTCTTCAGCCTCTGCAATGTTCTTTGCAGCGATGGCTTCATACTGCATGCGGATGTCCCTGAGAGCAGCGGTCAGATCGGGCTTAGACATGTCCATCTGGATCTGGACCTGAGTGTCTTGCATCTGGTTCTGCAGCTCTCGGATCTCCTGCAAGGTGTTCATGGAAAGAAGAGATTCATTATGAGTAAACATGAACTTACTAAAATGATGTAACAAAAAGAAAGAGATTTATGGATGTTTAAGAGAGAAACAGAAAGCAGCTTAACCCTTCAAAGCCTTACAAAATAATAGTCAGAATATTTTGAAAGTACACATCAAGATGTTTTTCTAGCTCTGCATCTTATTTGATATATTAGGAGATTATAGTCATTTATTTTTATTTTCCCAACTAATAGGGCAAAAGTTACATGCCACAAAAATGGTAGGAAGCCACACACACAATAACCCATATAATAAAAGTTCAACTGATAAACACACTTATTGGTCATAACCACAAAAACCAATTAGAGAGAAAGAAAACTAATTGTTTTAAAATTGTTTCGTTAAAAGAATCCAATAAACAAGTTACATTTTTAACTGTAATCATCTTACAAATATTTCTACCTCGTTAAAGAATTAAAGGCCTCAGAAACAGTTGTATAAAAAAATTACAAGTTCAGTGTAACAATGTAGTGTAATTGCACTTTCTTAAATTTGTGTAATAACGCACTTCCTGTCTGAACTGACATTAGAAATAAAATATCTAGACACTAATAAATCCTTCATTTTATGTGCTCTGGAAGAAAGTACTAAAAGCATAAATTTTAGTAGCAGCAAATGCAATCCCTTTATTCTTGGTAAAAATATATAATTTTACAAGCTTAAGTTGCATTCAGCTGTCGTTTGGTTTAATCAAATAGTTTAAAATAGCTATCCATTTGTTGCCACGAATACAAGCACACACACTTCAGCTATTTCCACAACAGCTGACATGCTCCTTTGAACCAGTCAGCACTTCAGCATTTCTGGGAGGTCAAAGTTGAGACAAAAAAGACAAAATGACAAGATGGATCCTCAGCTGTGCACTGAAACTGAGCTGAGCTTGTGGATCATCCAGTCCTTTCTTCTCGGTAAGGCAATGTGCAAAAGTGTTTTTTTTGTTTGTTTTTTTTTTTTTTGGCTATTGCCAAAATATGTGCATATGCACATATTTATATGCATGTGTTAGTGCATGTGATTTAACATCAGTGTGGGTGAGAGACTCTTTAAACGATCATAGAGCCAAAGCAATGCCTCTGTACGTTAAAAATTTAGAAGAGTTTCAAACCTCTTCATGGATTTTCTTGAGGAAGGCAATCTCTTCTTGCAGGCTCTCGATGCGCCTCTCCAGGTCCAGCCTGGCCAGAGTGGCACTGTCAACATCCTGGAAACAAGCACACAGCAAGAGAATGTATTCAGGCAAAGGCAAATGACTAAGAATCTGCTTTACAAAAAAGATGAGGCGGAAACAGAGTTTTATTTAAAAAGTTAAACTGAAGATCAAATAATAAATAAATAAATAAGACATACAGCTCTGAAGGCAGACAGATTGTTCTCAGCTTCTTCCTTCTGGTGGATTTCTTCTTGCAGTCTAAAAGGTGAGGGTTGCCCCACAGGGGAAAAGAAAACAATAACGGAGGAAAGTTAAAGGACAAATTCTTCTTGCCTTTCATTTCTATTGGGGTGCTGCTGCATTTGTACTTAAAAATAAAACCTGAGAGACACAAACTGTATTCTATTTAAACTCTGCTCGTATCCACACACCCACACCTCTTCGCCTGCTTGCTCTTTTAGCCCGAAAGCTTTAATGCAGCTGCTCCCCCACTGTCAGCGGCCGTGGGGTGATAACAAGAACCACTCCTGCTCTTTCCACATTTAGCATTTCACCAAACATTTTTAAAAAGAAGGACTTTTTTTTTTTCTTTAATCTATGTATAATTACAGGCATCAAAGGTTTGGAACGTGTAATGACTGATCTTTGGAGGACGACATGAAAATATTAATACCTGCTTGTTATTTTCATGTGCTGTAGCTGTGAGCAAGCAGGAGGTTAGGGTGTGTATTTTGATCTCAGTGGGTGAAGCAAGCGCTTTTGCTGGACTTACTCACAGCTTCGGGCAGCTGCTCGACGAGGGCTGATAAACAGAATGTGAAGAGCAGGAGACTGTGTACGTGCCGTAGACTGTGTGTGTGTGCGTGTGTGTAAGAATTGGAAGCTGACTGCATGCTGTGCGTGTTGGGGTGGATTTTTATTACACACTTTAATGTGAGCGATGATGCATCCAGTGTCATGATGGAGTTATCCCAGAAACACAAACTGACCTAAAAGCTATACACAGCCAAATATAGGCTTAAAAACAAAGTTTACAAGGGACTGTTGAAGTGAAATGTAGAATGTTATTTCCTTTTAGTGTTGAAAAATAGATTTTCTTTTTCCATCTGTCCACCTCTCTTCCTGTCTGAATGTTATACGTCTGGCTGAAACTTTATCTGTCTGTCTAAGGTTCATTCCTATGAGTCTGTAAATCTGTCTCCATCTCTGTTTTCCTCAGTGATGTCACTTTGAAATACATGTGCACAATTATAGGAAGCTTGAAAACAGTAGCGTTCACACAAGAAGGCCTACTTTGAAATTCTTTGAGGTTTACCTGTGGCTCTTCTTTTCTCCAAAAGAGAGAAGGTATTTCTACTCCTCTATTTTTCGTCTTCAAACCACTTTTCCACATAGCTTTCCAATATCTTGTTTGGTATTGCTTGACAGAACATACGGAGGAGGATCAATGGGTTTTAATTTTTAATTTTTAATTTTTCTGCGCCACCTCAGGTTGTTAACTAGCAAACCCTCTGGCCTCTTATACTAAACTTTCTGGAGCCTAGACCATCAGAACCTACCTCAGCTTTAGCTTCTGCAGATCATCAGCCAGGTTGTCCCTCTCCACTTCCACCCTGGCACGTTGGTTGGTGAGGGCCTCGATCTGCCTCCTCAGCTCCCTCATTTCCTCCTCGTACAGCTCAGCCACACGGCCAGGACCCTCGCGAACCCTCAGCTTCTCGATCTCCACGGTCAGGGCAGCATTCTGCTGCTCCAGGAAGCGAACCTTCTCAATGTAGCTGGCGAAGCGGTCGTTGAGGTGCTGAAGCTCGGCCTTCTCGTTGGTCCTTGTGTTGAGAAAGTCTTGGTTCATGGCATCTGCAAGGTTAAAGTCGAGCTTCTCGCCTCCATAGGTACGCACAGCTGTTGAGGAGCCAAATCCTGCTCCCCCAGCTCCAGAAGAAACTCTGAAGCTGGAGAAGGAGGGAACAGCGTTACTCTTGACCTCGTACACTCTGGAAGACATATGGCTGGAAGAAGAGCCTCGACCTCCTCCTAAGGAGGAGAAGAGGGATGACATTGGTGATGAACCAACACCAGAACCAAAGGTCCGGCGGTAGGAGGAGGCACTCTGGGTTGAAGAGGAGTAGGATTTGCTCATGGTTGCTTGACTGCTTGGTTGGTTTGTGGGTTCAGAGAAGCTGCTTCGGGCGTTAAGACCCAACAGTCCCACCAGGCCAGTGGAAGAGAAACTTGGTGAAGAAATGGCAGGTCCTCAGAGCAACTATTTGTAGACCATCCACACCCACTCTAGCCCCTAACCCCTCCTCTATGGCCTCCCTCTTTCTCCTTATACCCTGCTGACCTACGCCCACCACTCAACCACCCTCAAAGCAAAGCAATCCTATCCCTTTGATATATTAGACAGCATGTTTAGAGAACATTAATTCTGGACTTTCACGTTTAATGAGATTTTTTTTTTTTCAATGGCCAGTTGTATCAGATCACAATGAAACTGTAAACGAGCCTTTTTGTTGATCATAAACTCAAAATATAGACAAGCTTCTGGATGCCATTTTCAACGCCCACGATCATGGATTTATTTTTACATTTTATTGCAGTCTTTTAGTATATGTAGAGTTACATATTTTAATCTCTTTGCCAACAATCATGGGTTCGGAGTATGCCCCCTCCTCACATGCCATTCCCTCACCTTGTCTTGTCTGTTGCCAGCCCTACATTCAGCTGTCAAGGGGTCCAGTTTCAGCTGCTGGTAAAGTTGATCAGCTGTGCATTCATAGCTGTCTCTTCTGAAACATGACTGCATGAGCAATTAAGAGTCAGACTCATTCAGTGATTGTTCTAGTAATAAGTTGTAAAAGTCATAGACTTAAAAAAAGAAATTGTGGGAACATATTCTAAATCTAATCATAGAATGATTTTTTTTTTTTATTAAAAATTGCTGGTCTTCGCTGAACCAACCATCTTAGTAGAAATATGAGGTAAAATATTAGATCAGTGGTATTTTCTCAAATAAAACATTTTCCATGTTAATGTAATGGTCTGTAGAACTTCACCTAAAGTGTCTGGTTGAATGTTTAACACAATTTTATGGATAATGAAACAACACAGGTAACCCAAAAGCTATTGGAGCTCAATATTTCAGTGTAATTATATCATATTTGTTAAAATATCTGCTCAGATTAATTCATAACCTCTTGCTCAAGCAAGAGTTATAAACATTTGAACTGGTTTCAGAATGTATGCCTAGCATAAAGTATACTTAGAAAAATATTCATAGGCCCAAGGCCAACCCATATTTTGTTTTATCATGACGTCAAACTCTAACGCAAGTTATTTGGATTTTATCAAGTAAGCTGACACAAAGAAGTGGACAACAGAAAGAAAGTGATATGTGGTTTCTACAATGTGTGCCAATAAAAATATAAAGCCAACTGCTTTGTATTATTCACCCCCCTTTAATCTGATATCCTTAAATTAAATCCAGTTACAGCAAACTCTTGTTTTAGAGGTGTATATTTGTCCTTAGTCATATAAGTAGCATCAGAGTTTGACTGATAGGATTGCCAGGAAGGTCACACACCACACTTCCAATTTGTCACACACTGCACTTAGACCACTCACACATCCTGTGTGAGTGGTCAGATGCATTGGTTGAATTTTTGCAGCAGTAGATGTAAGTTAAGCATCTATGTGACTCGGGGTGTGCTCACAATTTGCAATCAAACCGATGCAGCGTAAAACTGACATGGAGACAACATTTCAATTCTTCAAAACGTCATCTTACAATAAAAGCTGGCCCAGGGCATTGCAAGCTTTGCCTTTACTAAGGCCTTCGTACCCACTGAAGTGAAATAGTCACATAAAACAGTGGTCATAAAACAGTGTTGAAAATGAGTCTACCATAATCTCCGGACAATTGAGCACACCTGAATTTAAGCAGCATCCACTAACTTTAAAACTTCACACCTGAATTGCACACTCTCCTGTGTGTAATCAAATGTCTGATTTGGAGACTGAATCCCCACTCTGCTCCCACATTGTAGAATGGAAGTACAAGGGCCACTTCAGCGAAAGTTTTGACATCAGGGAACATTTCTCCAACTGAAGCGATCAGAAGTTGGCAAGACTCTCTGAATGAGGAACAGTGGGAGGAAATCCCTCCAAATGCACCTGATGAGTCATCTCTAAAAAGTACACCGGCAGTAACTTTTGAGAGCCGATCTGTGTCAACTACTGCTTTAGTTGACACAGAATAACGTGACACAACTGCTGTGTTTAATCTTCAAACCTATAAGATTTCATTCTGGATTTTAAAAAGACACTCTGTGTTAATGAGTGTGCATTTGTATTTATAGGTATTTATAGGTATTTGCTGGAGGGGTCCTTGTGTGTCATGCACATATTTGTGTTTCACAAAGCAGTGTGCCTGTCAGCTTCAGTGGGTGGCAGCAGCCCTATTTTTAGATTTCATACTCAGAGCTCAGCCTGTTTGGCGTCTGTCCCAAAACACCCCAGAGGAGTACAGATAATGGATAACAGCACTGATTAAAGAAATTCAAGTGTGTGTCCTTTTTGTGTTTCTTTTTCTGTTGTAAATATAACTGATGAGAAGGTAACGATAATGTCTGACAAGATTTGAAATAACTTTATGTTTACTTAATAAATTTATAATACGTTATTTATGGAGAGTAAAACCAAAGTGACTTAGTTGTTAAAAACCATTTAGTTCAAAACAGTAAAATTACACAAATACTTAATGTGTCTTAGAGAAGAAATTGGATTTCTAGATAGTTCTTCCCAAGCCCCTTCCTTTACCATCGAAGGCAACCCAGCTTTTAACAATGGAGCTGTAAAACTGAGCTATTAAAATAGTCACAATGAGAGAAGTTGCACCATAAACTTCATGCAAACTTTGCTGATTAACATCAAAACACTAAATATCTCTTTTTTATTTCAAGTATAAACCTTTAGAAAATGAGCTTTCAGTTTAGTGTCATAAATTCTCATTTTAGCAATAAAAATTAACACATAGAAATTACAGACATTAGTTCTTTCAAGCCAGACTGGTTGATTTTACAGCAGTTAATAATGAAAAATTGCATAATATTTGATTGTCTGTATATTTTATGAAGGATTATTACATTAAAACATTTTTGTTGTGACTCAAATTTAATTTTCATTAAAAGCCTGACAAAAAAAAAAATGAAGCTCATGGGTCAAATGACATTAATTACTTTCTTAAACATCGAGAGAAGGAAAATATTTCACATATCCCTAATGCTCTATTGGTATAGCCCAAACATACTCAGATGAACCTGTTTGAAAGTGATGTTTTTATGGATGAGTCATAAAATGTTATATGGTTACCAATAAAATTGATTCATTTCCTCTAGTGCAAATGGGGGGTAGAACTCTATACATCTTCATTTTTTTAATACATAGGTAAATTATTTCAATTAACATGTAAAACTTAAGGACAAATTGTTTTTTCTATATTCATCTGTTTTAGGTTATTGACTGCTCATTACTGGATCTGGTAGTGATCTCCTTCCCAACTTATTCCTGCTGGAGGCTGAAAAACTAGCAGATTGTTTCATTAGTATACTCCATGCAGAGGCCAACCCTATTAGCAATTAAAATTAATTACCATGTATTTAAAAAAAAAATCTTGAGCATATTAAACAGTGGCTATGCGTTCAGAAACAGATGCAGCCCATAGTGTGCAACTAATTTAATGAGTTGGAAGCTGATGAGAGTAAAAAGCCAACAGGTTATTGCTGTAGCTTCAGTTTTCTCTGTTCCAATCTGTACAATGGGTATCAGTCAGAAATGGATGGAAGAAAATGGCTATTTGGCTACCATTAAAACATTATAACTGGAGTAATAATATGTAACTTATTTAAGTCTTTAAAACATCTGGGCGTCCAACAAATATTGGTGAGAAAGTTGAAGTAAATGTCGTCAGAACAGTGACAAATGCTGCAGTGAGCAGGACTTAAGAGGTGGGGACTTTTACCAACAGAGACGAGTGCAAATCTTATATGGGCTGGATGTGGAATAAACTGCTGATATGAGATGAAGAGGCATCCAAGTGGTTTCCAGTTGAATACTACATCATGAGCCTAGGACAGAGAGTGAGCCAGCAAGTGGTTGCCTAACAGCCACAGACTCAGAGCCAAACAACCCTGAACTGTATCCCAGAAAAGACTATCTTAAATTAGCACCCTAATAAAATAAAAAAATAAAAAAAAAACGACTATGGAAACAGTTATCCAGACAGGAAACAAGTCTCGGAAAACTAACAGCACATGACAGTCAGGTACTAATTTTAAAAACAATGTCATGGCCTGAATCTGAATAAAAGATGAGGCATCAAAATAACAGCAGTAATTCTCAACAAAGTAAATGACCTATATCGCATGGCAATTTGCCACAAGGTGAGAAAAAGTTTATATTCAAATTGTTGGATGTTAGGTTAGACCCATTCAGTGATGGAGTTAATGTTACAAACCCAGACACAGAGTTCTTTACAAGTCTAGGCTTGATGTCCTGACATCACACCCCAAGTCAGTCTGGGACACATTGGGAGAGTAAAGTTAATGTGCCATCTTTTAGAAGTAGTTTGTCCAATTGTTAGCTTGGCAGAAAGGCAACAAAGTTAGAAGCCAAAGAACGTGAGGGAGGTTATGGTAATTTGATCTACTAATAATTTTCCTTGACACTGAACTTGACAAATTGCATGGAGTATCAAGATGTTTTTGAACAATAAGCATTGTGGGGACTTTTTTATTTTTATTTTTCCAATTAAAACATAAATAGATGATAGACAACAACAATCGAAAATGGATGTCCCAAGCTATGAGTTTCTAAATTGAAAAGGTAAAGAATGTTGAAAAATCTGTGCACAAATACAATGTAAATAATACTGAATGGTGAGGAAAGGGCAGGTGGTTTAAACATTTACACAGGCAGAATACCTGTTGCCCAGCAACAAACCCAACAGGCATACACAACATGCCAAACAGTTGAGCTGCGGCCCAAAATTGACTTTATGATGAAACAAGGAGAAAAAGGAAGACAAAGAAGTGCTGTATTTGCCTGACTCTGTCACAGGTTTTGCATCTTTTTGATTGCATGCAAGTGTGAAACATAAAAGACCCTAACAACCTTCTAAAAATATAACATCTTTAAGAGGGAACCAGTTGTTCCATGTTTTGTGCAGGTCTATTTTGGGAGAGATTTGATATCAACGTGGTTACAGAGTTCCTGAAGTAAAATCATTAGACTTCGTTATGTTGCAGAGGTTCAATTTCAGTGGCAGCTAGTCCCATTTTAATAATTTATTGAGCAAATATATCTGACTAAAAATTTGAAAAAAAATTAAATAATACAAGCAAGGTCTGACATTAAAAGTACAAACATATTGGTAAATCTGTCGGTTCTTCCATTACACTTACTGGATGCTAAAAAAAACAACCCCTGCAAAAATCACATTTAGAGAAATATCCAAATTTCCTTAGCCTAATTTATTGCTTGTTGGTGAAAATACTGAAATCCCTGCAGTCAAACTGCATTTTGCTATGTTAACTGGCAATGCAACTTATTGGCAGCAAATAACAGAGACCACTAAATTAATAGCTGAAAGTATCACAGTTTATGAGCTTTTACACAAAATGTGCTTTATAATCTAGTTCGTCTTTCTCAATGTTAGAATGATTACTATAATTGATATTTTGACATAGAGACATACGCCTATAAATAGAAGAAAAAAAACGCTAAATTTCCAATATTTAATTTTAGTAAATATGGTACAATACAATAACCAATTTTATTCTGCTCTCATATACACAAAAATGTCTAATGGATGTAAGCTTTTTAATTTGTAGAACTTTCTACCTGAGAAAGGAGTCTGCAGTCAGATGTTTAACAGACATGCCTTACATAGTAGGAGAGCTACACAAATACCCACCTGTGTATTTAGTAACTGGAAACACTTCCAAGCATTTGAATTTATCTTCCTTGTAACCAAGGGAAAAGTGAAGGAGTTTTTTTTTGTTTGTTTTTTTTCAGACAACTGGCTGACAGTGCACCACAAGGGGTCATAACTGTAACTACACTTTTTGTCAAGATGAATGAAACGGTTAAAGGCCAATACTCAAGGTTTTAGCATTGGCCTACCTCTTTCCTGAACTTAAATCTTCATGCGTGTGCTAATAAGTTGAAAATCAAGAAGGACTTTATTTTTATCGCCAACATGAGTCCAGCTGCACACTCAAGTCAAAAACAGAATAATTTCATCTAAAGAAATTTTTCAGAGCAAAATTTATTTGAGCAGGTCAATATGAGATATGTCATATTAAGAGTAGGAAAGCTTGAAATATTTTCTGATATTATTTTTTTTTATTTCTACGGGATAAAAGATAATGATTTCTAAAATCTAATAAAGTACGCATTTATGATACAAATTATTGTTTTAAACCTTGAACAAAGTCAGTAAAATTTTGCAATATATATGCTTGTGTTGTGGATTTCTACAGTTTGTTAGTTGATTAAACTGCTTTGATGCAGAGCAGAAGATATTCCTAGGAATTTATATGTTGTGTGATAAATGATTTACCTACTTATTTATAATGTTCCGTGTAGGGCAGTGTTTGCTAAATGGTTTTGATTTTTACTCAGAGATATAAAAATGTATTATGGAGGCATTTAAACAAGTGCATGATGATAATTCATATCAAATAATTTTATGGAAATATATACGTTTAATTAATTGATGTTTTATGACCCACAGTGGCTAACAAAACGTACATTTTAAGATCCCAAAATCTTAAATCGTTACTGTTTGTAAAATCTTGACTCGTGTGCTTTGTTGCCCAGGTCATCCACGTGAAAAGGACTTAATCACAAAGGTTATTTACCTGGTTAAATAAAAATGTAATAAACAAAATTTGGGAAAGCAAATACTCCGTTTTCACAAACACTAGAGGGCGTGAGAGCACAGCAACATGAACTTCAAAGCACCGGTTCCTTTAACTTTAAAGCTTTACATTTAGGCATGTTATTACCTAATAGGTAATCTTTTCCACATTGTATGTGGATTGTTTTAAGCCGAAAATGGCAGTTTAATTGATTTTAATGCCTTATATGCCTGCTATATGGGATATATGATGTTAAGTAGTGTGCAGCCCTCTCCCCCCTTCGGTTTTAATACAAACGTATATTGTTAGATTCTAAGAGGTTTCATCTAATATATACAGTTAAATTTTCCTATTACAAGTGTACGATTCACTACTTATGTTAAATATGTAAAAATAATGAAGAGCATGAATCATGCAAAAACCAAAACCAATAAATAAAGAAATAATAAAAATACATAAATAAACCCTCCACGTCTTTTTTTTCTGTGCGTGTACCCGGTGCAGTGGAAACTGCACTTATGTCATTTCTGAATGGGAGGAATATGGAATATGCATAAGCGAGCGGTTTCATTGACTCCTCCCCCCCTCCCCCTCCCCTCCCATTCTCTCTGTGCTGTTTCTTTTTTCACCTTGATGACGCAGCTGCAGGTTGCTTTCTTCTGTAGCTCTCGGTTTCCACAGACTGCTGGCTGTTTCCGCAGCGGTGCTGTCGTGAGTCGGTACTACGCTGCGTGTCCACGGTCTGTGCCCTCCTCCTCTATCCCCTCGCCCCGCCTTTTCATCGGGAGGGTTTCTTCTTCCCGATCCATCCATCATTTTTATTCCCTTCTCATTTCCCCCCCGTCTCCCCCTTGTTCGTCCCTGTACACGATCTTGACGGCTCAGTTAAACATAATGGGGATTTAAAACAGGTGGAAAACTCTCAGAGTCTGTCTCTCTCCATCCATCCGTCGCACTAAAGCTTCAGGGGATCATGCAACATCTGAAACCATGGCGAGCTCTGCTCCTTCTGGCGGTGCTCTACCAACCAGCTGTCTCTGAGAAATACGGTAAGATGATGATGCTGCTGCATATTACAATTTAGTTAAGAGAGTAAACAGCTACATACATATTCTACTCCTTACTTTGCATGGTGCATCAAGTGCGTTTGTGCATTTCAAGAGGGGACTGTACATGTCTTTACCAAATTAACTCAGTGATTGCATCTGTGGGTAAATACAGGGGGCTGTAATCAGATTAAACAGGGGAGGAGAAGAGATGGGAGATAAGGGAGGATGGGGAAGAGAAACACTTAGTCTGTTTCATAGGCTGTTTTATCTTCCAGCATCATGAAAGAACAGGTTAGAGCATATCGCTCATGACATCTCACCACTTTGGCTCTGCTTTTTATTGTGCTTACAGTTATGTTTTTGCCATAAAGACAGAGTGACACAGAGCCATATGCTCTAAATGGAACATTAGAATGAAAACACTAAAATTACATTGCATACATAAAATAAAATAAAATAAAAAATCAACACTTATTTGTTATGTTTCAAAACCAAAACTTCATCTATGTCTTCTGTGTTCAGGGAATAAAATAGAAATCACATTAAACATGCTCTTTACTCAGTAAAGGACGTTTAGAGATGTAGAAGTACAATTATAATTTCTAATACGTTTGCTGTGTTCTATTCTGGTCCATGGAAATACAATGACAGCTGCAGTGTTTTGTGGCAGATTAATATCATTTACGATAACAGTCTGTGCTGTGATTATTTAGAACTGATTTTGACTTGTTTTGTTGGTAGCTGCATTGATTTGACCTTTTTAATGAGACAATTGTGCAACAAGTGAGTTTCATGCCCGTTAGTATTTTTATTTTTGATTTTTGTTGTTGTTATTGTCGTCTTTACGTGATTTGAATTTAGCATTCCACTGAAGAAATTTAGCCACTGTTGACTTCAATTAAAGTATTTTCCTTTTGCGCTCAACAACCTGAAAATCAAAAGAGCATCACCATTGGCTTGCCCTCCCTTTTCTATGTTTAATTTATATTCACTCAGACTGATTAATGTTTATTCAACCTATTTTATGAGTTCGTTTGAATGGTTTTTATTGCCAAAATGTATTAAATAGCAATTAAACTATTATTGAAAATTGATTAGAGCAATTCCTTAGAACACAAATAAATCAGCTTGTATAGAATAATACATAAAAATAAGAGACAGCCTGATAAGCAGCTGTCCTCATCAAGGAGGTTGTGTCAGTGCCATGGAGGAAAATCAGTACTGGTTTTTTCAATCACTGACATCTCTTTGCCTCCACTGTTGTTGTTTTTTTCACACTTCAGATTTATCCAACTGTTTGTCTGAAAAGCCGTCTATCCATATGTGCGACGGCATGATGCTCATGTCTGCGTTTACATCTTGGCAGCCAGTTTTTTTTCCCCCCTTAGGGCCAGATGTCCTGTTGCTATGAGAAACACTGCTTTTGGATGATTGCAATGTTTGGTCTACTTTGCAAGGATTTGTTACACGATATCTGTTTTGTAAGAAAGAATAATAATTGGAGATGCACAGTGACACATTTGCTATGTCCTGGGTTTAATGCCTGGGTCTTTCTGTATGGAGTTTGCATCTTCTCCTTGTACATGTGTGGTTTTTCTCTGGGTACTCCAGATTCCTCCCCTCTGTCCAAAAACATGACTCTTAAATTAAGTGGTCTCTCAAAGTGTCGTGAAGTGTAAGTGTGCATGGTTGTTTCTTCTGTGTTTCTCTGTGTTTTCCTGCAATGGGCTGGCGACCTGTCCAGGGTGTACACAATGACTGCTTAATGCCTATGGATGGATATTAATTGATAGATATTATGGTGAAAAGATGGAATCTTTGCCAGCTGTATGGTTGTGTAAAGCTATGTGTCTTTGATAAGTAGTTATTTAAGTTAGATGGAAAACCCACCTGTTTGGAGTTCCTTTTGAACCTAATTGGAACATTGACCAATATATTTTATTGTGTATTAATGATTTTGATTATGGCAATTTACAAAATGTGGTTTCTCAGTTGATGACTGTGGAGTGTTTCTTTGACTTTATTTTTGTCTTTTTATGATGTAAAGCACTTTGAACTCCCTTGCTAATGAAATGCGCTGTGCAAGTAAAATTGATTAATTGAATGATTGATTATTTGTTGTTATCCTAAACTGTTTATGTAAAACAAAATTGCTTGATTAGTGACACTATTGTCTATCAAGAAGGATCAAAGGACCAAAACTGTGACAATAGTGACATGTAAGTCCTAACTAGTAAGATTTTGCTGTGTTACTCAATGATCGTCACATTAAACTGTTGTGACTGTTTTTGACAATCATATTTTTATTGCTCCAAAATTCTGTAATAAAAACCCTGACATGTTGAATAGCCCAAATTATTTATTACTGATGTGATTTGTTGATTTGTTATATGATATAACTGTACTGAAGAAAAAAATGTGCCCCAATGTCATTGTGCTTGTGTACACTGTACAGAAATGCACAATGTCAATAAAGACTACTTTACTTTATAATTTTGGTATGTAGGGTAAGGTGATCATTATCTAAATTTTTAATGTCCTTAATGAATTTTTGATTGCAATTTCGATGACTAATTTGAAACAATACAAATCTAGTTGGACGTTTGTTGGACTAGTTCAAGCGTTTTCCTTCTCCAGTAAAACATATAGATACAAAAGTTCAACTATTCAGCCAAAGTGCCACTTCAGTGGCACAAAAGTCTTGATCAGTGAACTTTTAGATTCACTGTCTAATAAGACTCCGTTTATATCTGCAATTATAGCTTAGAAGAAAACTAATTAACATTAAACCCCATTCTGAACTATTATTATTGTTGCAGTCTACATTCTACTCAACTGGTCATCTAGTACAACCCTGTGGTGTTTCTTGTGTTAATGGAAAGACAGACAGGGAGGCAGGCAGAGATGGCATGGTGCACACCACAAGGTTCACTCATTTCTATTGACTAGAGAGAAAAACTAAGACATAGAAAGCTATTCAGTGTTCAACTGACAAAGCTTTTTTTTTTTTTTTTCCCATGAAAAGACCTTGTTGAGAAGCTGCTCAGTGAAGAAAATCAAAGTAATCCTGTCAAAAATCATCACTTGCAGGACACACAATACATAATAATTTACTAGTTGACATTTTGTTGCCTTACTAGCCTTTTAACTACACTAGCTGGCATTTTTAGGGTTCTTAATAGCAGCTACTAATATGGCAGTCACCAACAGTGGACTACTGGTATGGACTACAGGGTGACTAGTGGCATACTAGTAAGATTGTTGCTCCTTCTGGTCTAATGAAGCAAGAGGAGTGTTATTTTGAAGAAGTACATCGAAACATGGACTAAGCATGAGCAAACTGAGGAGTGAAGTGGCAAACCAGAAAGGAGCAGGAAAGTGATGGCTTACGTCAAGGATGTCGAATATTTACTCAAACAAGTTGCCATATGGGCTGATCCTTTGCTTATGAAAATATTTAATACTGGGATTTTTTTTTTTTACTTGAAATCTGATATTTTTTTTCTTGCCCTTTTGGTTCAGCAGATGCTTTGTCGAAGTTTGATGACTATATAAATTAGCAACGTTAGACTCTTTCTTCTTTTTCCAACCACTCTAATAAAGGTTAATCATTGCTGACAGGATAGTCTGCAATGGCACAAGACTCTGTTATTTGTAAAGGAAAGCACCTTTGCATGCAAGATTGACACAGGAAATGTTCCTTTCCTGAAACTAAAATAAATGTTTTTTTAGTCAAGTTTCAGGAGAAATTATGAAACCGCAAAACATTTTATGTGTGTGTTTTGTTCTTTGGATACGCGTAACTGTTGCACTTTTTATTTTATTTAGTCAGATAAAATCATTCTCAACACTAAAATTGATGTGGTATATTTAATTTTGTTTGCAAGTTCACGTTACTGATAATGTTTAATTTAGCTAAACTGGTCCCTTCAAGCATGGATTTCCAAATTTAAAGAGATCCAAGGTGTGCTGTGAGACAGAGAAAAGACAGAAAGCCACACAGTCCTATTCATGCATCCATATCTTTCTCTGACCACCTGTTCCTTCCCACACTACTAATACATCAAGGTCTTACTCGCCACACTAAAATAGGAATTTTTAACAACTAAAAAATAAAGACAGAGGTATTACCACAAGCTGCTCCCCGTGTTTAGAAAAGGACATTGTTGTACCAATGTTATTTTCAGATCCAATGCTTTGAAGTGGAAAAAGGTAAAGGGTTGACTGATTAAGCTATGCAAGCATTGCAGATGTCTTTAGGTGGTTGCATCACTCCATGAATGATAGAAGAAAAAGTAGTTCGATAGATAAAAATAATGATTTGTAATGTGCAGAAAAGAAAAAGTGTTTCTTTGAACCAATTTTAAATAATACTCTTACAGCTAAATTTATTAGTTATGCTCAAGCTAAAATTCTGATTTGAATTATTCTGAAATGCGAATTACAGTTTTTGCAAAACTATTTCTCCTACATGGTTCAAAATAAACCTATTATTCGTTGTATTCGAGGCCAATTTTAGTAAGTGAATCTGGGACTGGACTGGACTGACCCTCTAAGTGTGCTTTAAATCAGCTGCTGGCATGGAAATATCTGCAACGATGGTAATCTGTCAGCTTTCTCTGTGTCGTTCTGTCTCAGGTTGCCTGTTTGAGAGAAAACTGTGCACAAGGGATCAGTTCTGCTCTGACGGTGAGTACAACCTGTAGTCATGCAGAAAAAAATATTTACTTTTTGTCCTTTTTGTCTAAATTTCATGTTTTATATTTTGACCCAAAAACATTTCTATGCCTGTAGGATCTTTAAGTACACACATAAACATAGATAGATGTCAAAACATGTGCTAAGTGTCACCGGGGTTAAATGTTTGTGTACAAAAATAGACCAAAAAAAAAAAAAAATCAAGGATTCCTCCCCTTTTACTTTATTCGTCTTCATCTCTCCGTCACCTGTCCCTCTATTTTTCGTCATCTCTATCTAAACCCCTCCCCGCCGACCCCCAGTTTCCATAGCAACACTGACATCACGGTGAGGCCAACTCCCCCACAGTTGTTGTGTTGATACAGCGATGAGTCACTAACACGCGCTTACGTCCCTCTCTGTGGAAACGGTACTTACGCACACACTCGATGGTTGAGCAGAATACCAAATGGATAAGTGAGCTTGCTTACTCTCCAAAGAAAGGAAGAATAGGAGAAAAACATTCGGAGATCCACCCATAACACTTTATTTTCATACCACTTTGCACCTTCAACAGCCTAGTACGCAAAATAAGCTATGTTTAGCGTGCTTATTCGGCACCAACAAAGGCTGATTAAGTTTTTTTTTTTTTAACAGTGTGAGACACCCTTAACACCAGGGAAAAAAATAAAATGGTAACCATTGCATTCTATAAAAAAAAAAAAACATTCAACACTTTATGAGAGGTACTCAACATTATGACAAAGATGTTCATAGAAACACTTTGAGACACACGAGTACAGAAACAGCAGCAGAATTTAGTTAATCAACAAAAGTCATATTTTGTGATTTAAAAAAATTTTTGCTGCTATGTGACCATTTTCTGCTACTGATGCCCATAATTTTACCTGATCATGATTAGGAATTCTGGACTGACATGTACTTACTAAATCTTCACTAAGTACTTAAGATATGTAGTGACATGAGCTTGATGAAAACCTGCTTGGTGAAAAACAACCATTTTTTTTATTTTTTATTTATCTTTTTTTGCTGTGTCATTCTTGGTTCACATATATACCCATCAAGCTTATTTGTCGTATTTACCACAATTGGATTGGATTGAGTTGACAAACACCGATAGTTATCTCAGGAGTAAAGCCCTGTTATATTTTATATATTTTAGACAAATTAGTATTCTGGAAATCGTTGGTGTCAAACTGTGATTACAAGTTGTTGCTTTAGGCTGCTTAAAATACTGATGTTTTCTTTTTGTCTTGTTTCAGTTCTGCTCAAAAAAATAGCAACCAGAGTCCATCTCGTTTTTTGTTTTTTTTAATTTGGACTTTCTAATTCTGGATCTTAAAGATGTGATAAAGGATAAAGACTTGTTCACAAAAATATTTAGATTTGTTAAAACTGGCTGTTTTGGTGCTCACTTAAATGAGGTTTTTGTCAATGAGTTATTCAGCTGTTTTACTTTGATGTTTGGTAAGTTTAAATATAGCAATAGATATTTTACACATTTTCCTGTGATGACTGCAAGAGTTATAGACATAGTAACTCAAGTGCATTGTTATAGTTTAATAAGAGACAAGACGTGTTTGGTTTGTACGGGGCCCCAAAGGGGACATGGAGAAAAAAAAAAAAGGAAAGAAATCCCGACTTATTATCGCGAGATCCCGAGAAACTAAGTCGAGATCTCGAGATCCCGACTTATTATCGCGAGATCCCGACTTATTATCGCGAGATCCTGACTTATTATCTCGAGATCCCGACTTATTATCTCGAGATCCCGAGAAACTAAGTCAAGATCTCGAGATCCCGACTT